CTGAGACTCCTAACACTGCGCATGTTTTATTTGAGCGAGGAGCTGTTTCGAGAGTAGTTTTTTTTTTTTTTTAGGATGTTGATAACCAACTGCTCGGATTAAAGGCACTCCACCATTTCACCAGGTCATGTCTTTTAGCGATCCCCATATGAAGTGCAAGTAAGTAGCCAGATAAGCTGGCCCATGACAAGGCCGAAATACTTGTCCGGAAGACCCATGTACCGGAACAAAGCCAACTCAACCAGAGGATGGTTGGGTTTTTTTTCTTGAGAAGATCTCAATTTAGATGTGATCTATTTTATATAGTGATATCTTTTATATAGTGATATATTTTATATAGTGATATATTTTATATAGTGATATATTTTATATAGTGATATCTTTTATATAGTGATATATTTTATATAGTGATATATTTTATATAGTGATATCTTCTAGGTTGCCGGACATTCAAACCTTCCCATTCTTTGTGATTTTTTTGATATCATTTAAACAATAGAATTACCGATTAAATTTGTATATTTAGTCATCCTGTTCCGATTTCCAATGATAAATATCGAGATTATGTAACTCAATAGCTAAGTCTGTTTCAGTACTTTTGTTCATTTTGCATATAACATGTTATGTGCAAGATTAGGAATAAATTCATTTTGTATAACGTATTATATGCAAGATTAGGAGTAAAGTCATTTTGTATAACATGTTATATGCAAGATTAGGAATAAAGTCATTTTGTATAACATGTTATATGCATGATTGGGAATAAAGTCATTTTGTATAACATGTTATATGCGTGATTAGGGAATAAAGTCATTTTGTATAACATGTTATATGCAAGATTAGGAGTGAAGTCATTTTGTATAACATGTTATATGCAAGATTAGGAATAAAGTCATTTTGTATAACATGTTATATGCATGATTGGGAATAAAGTCATTTTGTATAACATGTTATGTGCAAGATTAGGAGTAAAGTCATTTTGTATAACATGTTATATGCAAGATTAGGAATAAAGTCATTTTGTATAACATGTTATATGCAAGATTAGGAATAAAGTCATTTTGTATAACATGTTATATGCATGATTGGGAATAAAGTCATTTTGTATAACATGTTATATGCATGATTGGGAATAAAGTCATTTTGTATAACATGTTATGTGCAAGATTAGGAGTAAAGTCATTTTGTATAACATGTTATATGCAAGAGTAGGAGTAAAGTCATTTTGTATAACATGTTATATGCATGATTAGGAGTAAAGTCATTTTGTATAACATGTTATATGCAAGATTAGGAGTAAAGTCATTTTGTATAACATGTTATATGCAAGATTAGGAGTAAAGTCATTTTGTATAACATGTTATGTGCAAGATTAGGGAATAAAGACATTTTGTATAACATGTTATATGCATGATTTAGGGAATAAAGACATTTTGTATAACATGTTATATGCATGATTAGGGAATAAAGACATTTTGTATAACATGTTATATGCATGATTTAGGGAATAAAGACATTTTGTATAACATGTTATAGGCATGATTAGGGAATAAAGACATTTTGTATAACATGTTATATGCATGATTTAGGGAATAAAGACATTTTGTATAACATGTTATATGCATGATTTAGGGAATAAAGACATTTTGTATAACATGTTATATGCATGATTAGGGAATAAAGACATTTTGTATAACATGTTATATGCATGATTAGGGAATAAAGACATTTTGTATAACATGTTATATGCATGATTAGGGAATAAAGACATTTTGTATAACATGTTATATGCATGATTAGGGAATAAAGACATTTTGTATAACATGTTATATGCATGATTTAGGGAATAAAGACATTTTGTATAACATGTTATATGCATGATTAGGGAATAAAGACATTTTGACAAATAAATTGTGATTGATTTTGAACATTGTATAGGGATAAGTTTTTTTTAAAAACTGAAGAAAAAAAATTAAGCACATTGTGAATGACAAGTTTTAGTGTTCATTTTCGTTTTGGCAACAATTTATGTTAATAGCAAATACTTAGTTGACTTACGTGACAGGTGACTTAGGCGACAGGTGACACAGGTGTCTTAGTTGACAGGTGTCTTAGGCGACAGGTGGCACAGGTGTCTTAGGTGACACAGGTGTCTTAGTTGACAGGTGACTTAGGTGTCTTAAGTGACAGGTGACTTAGGTGTCTTAAGTGACAGGTGACTTAGGTGTCTTAGGTGAATTAGATGTCTTAGGTGACAGGTGACTTAATAGGTGTCTTAGGTGACAGGTGACTTAATAGGTGTCTTAGGTGACAGGTGACTTAATAGGTGTCTTAGGTGACAGGTGACTTAATAGGTGTCTTAGGTGACAGGTGACTTAATAGGTGTCTTATGTGACAGGTGACTTAATAGGTGTCTTAGGTGACAGGTGACTTAATAGTTGTCTTAGGTGACAGGTGACTTCATAGGTGTCTTAGGTGACAGGTGACTTAATAGGTGTCTTAGGTGACAGGTGACGTAATAGGTGTCTTAGGTGACAGGTGACTTAATAGGTGTCTTAGGTAGGCCATAGCAAGCTATGAAGTCATACATATGTTTGCTACGGTACTGGTTTGTTTGACGCTCATCACTTACTACTGTGTCTCACTCAGGCAGCTCATCACTCACTACTGTGTCTCACTCAGGCAGCTCATCACTTACTACTATGTCTCACTCAGGCAGCTCATCACTCACTACTATGTCTCACTCAGGCAGCAGTCGGGGTAGTTTGAAGTTAGAAACTACTAACTTAATATAGCATGTAACAAACAAGAAACAAGTCAACATTTAGGAGTTGATGATGCTCTCTATATATGAAAGCATGAATGGACTCACGCATAACTAACATTAAAAAGCATCTGCTATCAAGACAATGTTAGGCTTTAAACATTTTAAAAAAAATGATGCATTTCGGATAGTAAGCCTAACCGTTGTTGTTGTTGTTTTACGTGGCAAGTTGTCACACCAAGTTGTCACACCATCCTTGACAGCGGTCCTTACATCACGTGTATATTTTTTTAATCGATAGCTAAAAATAATAAATGTCTGGCTCTGTGACGTAACGATTTCAGATCTAGAATGGTTTATAAACAACACTGACTATTTACTCTACAAGAAATATTCAAATTAGACCAAAGTACTATAAATGAATTTCCAAATTGTATTGTGTTCATCTTTCATGAAATATGATTGGCAAAATCTTGTCGAATATAAGGGGGGGGGGGTAGAAGCGGAGGGCGTCCAGATCTGTAGTAAGCCGAGGGCGTCCAGATCTGTAGTTTAGCCAGTTGTATCAAATGTATCAAACATGTATCAGGTATTAATCATGTATTAAACATGGATTAAATCTATCAACAATGTAACAAATATGTAACACATGTATCAAACATGTATCAAACCCGTATCGATGTATCAAACATGTACGAAATGCATCAAACATGTATCAAACATAGGCCTATATCAAATGTATCAAACATTTTTTTCTTTGTTTGAAATATTACAATTTATTTTTATAGTAGGCTTCATAATATCGTTTTACATTTTTAATCCTCTTCAACATCTGGTGGATACAAATTGAACGCTTATTTCTGTCATCGGTGCGTCTTATGCGAGTGTTAAAGTTGTTTTTACAACCTATTTGGTATTTGTTAAAACTGACAAATGCTTTTCTCATTGTTGACCCCAAATTGTATTTTAATGATAGGTATAGGTTTATGACTTGGTTTATCTGTATCTCCTTTCACTAGTGTCGTTTGAACTTTTTCTTTTGAAAAAAATGGAAATAAGCATGATTTTAATTCAAATAAGTAAGTCCACCACAATTTTAAAAAATAAAAAAATTCAATGCCATCTCTCAGATCTTTCAAAAGTAAATTACCCCCCCCCCCAACCCCAACCCACCAAACATAAATCATTAGTGATTTGTGTAGATATTTAAAAAAAAAAATTGGTTAACAAAGGGGCTATAAAAGTAAATTACCCCCCCCCCCCAACCCCAACCCCCCAAACATAAATCATTAGTGATTTGTGTAGATATTTAAAAAAAAAAATTGGTTAACAAAGGGGCTACACAAAAGTATTCTTTCTACTTAAATGCCTTTGGGACAGTAGAGCCAAACATGAACAAGAAAAGATTGGCTTCCGAGGGAATATGTAGTGGTCGGATGACAAAACTTAATTAATGAAGCGGTAGTGATATAGAATTACATTGCCACAATTCAGACCACTACATATAGAGCTACAACTGCCTGATGAGCCCGTTTGGAAATGCTTTGAATAAAGACTATTTATGCATTCAACACATGCGCTAAGTTCCATGGACCTAACATAAACTGAACGCTCGATTTTTGAAGGTCCAAAATCAGAAAATTTATGAATGCTCTGGGGAGGAGGAATGGAAAACCATAAAAAATGAAGGTTGTAATGATGGTCCTAATGAAGGGAGTGTGGGGGAGTGAACGTTGGAGAAACTGGCCATCTTCAGATCGCCTGCTTATAATATTGATTTAAAACAAAAATGGCACAACTCACACGCTAGCCTAGTGCACATGAGCCTTTCGACACGCTAATACTAATGGTATTGACTTGTTTATTTAAATTTAATTTATATTTTTTTCAGAAAAGGGAGGTGGGGGAGGGGGTGATAGACCAAATGATGGCAAATGTAACTAAAATATGCATGGGATATATTAAAACCATGAAATACCATAGCAACAAAAATTACTGTACTTAACACAGACTAATAAATTAAAAACATTATCTGCGTTGATATACGGTATTTTGAACATTATATAGAGAAAATTAGGGATTAAAGGGAAAGCACTAGACGTATTTGTCCAATGAAGTTTTAGGACCACTGTGGCGTTACACAAAAATCGATGTCCTGCTTTTCTTTGTCCTCGTGCGGCCCACTACGTCTGCAAAAGCGTGAGTAATGCATGACCCTCTTCGTTCAACGGTTTATCTCGTTCGTTCGGTAGCAAACGGATCGAAGAGAAAAATCATCACACACTCTTTACTCTTTACGCCGCGACTTCACAAACACACTCATCGCACACTGGTTTACCTCAACAGACGATCTCAGTTTCTTATCCCAGGACCATGAACACATCAGAGGGCAATTCCTAGTGAAGCTATATTTACGTATTTTCTAACAGCACACTGATTTTGTTAGCTGATGGTAGGTACCCTATTACTAATTACCCATTAGTTTTCCAAGAATAGGTGTTCTTTCCCCTTTCAATTTGAACTCGCTTAGTTTAGTTAGTAGTAGGCTAAATTACCGTGCAGTTAGTATGATTATGTCAATTATGATGCTTGCAGCAAGTACGGTCTAGAAAAGGCTAGGAGAAAACCAAAACAGCTTTGGATACGTTGATTTCAATCTGTGCATTGTAGTTTTAGTAGACTTATTTATTGAATTATTATTTTTGTCTAAATAAATATTGATTTATGGTGACAATTCTTGACTCATCCTAATAGTTCCAGTAGGGGGGGGGGGGGGGGGGGGGGGGGGGGGGGGGGGAGTATGATCTTATTTTCTAATTTAAAAAGTTACAGTTATAAAGTTAAAGACATACGTACGTTCATTTAAATGCCTTTAATAAATCCAATTCCATTTGATCATATCTCCAAAACCAATGCACTCATTTCTGCCTGTCAACCCCATTCATTTAAAACCCCACTTAGACCCCCACTCATTTACAATGAGATGGCTTTCAAGCGGAAGCGTGTGATAGGTTCAGATAAATTAAGCTTAAGACCTACTGCTCTAAATTGTTCAAAGTTCAAATCAGAGCCACACTTTCCAGTTCCAATCCGGCTTTTCTAAATGGCAGTCAGTTGACAGTTTGTTGTAATTATTTTTGTTCCTTTGCAAAAGTGCAAAATTTATGCAACTTTTTGCTGCAATTTTGAAACCCAAATATAAATGACTATATCATTATGTAAATTTATTTAATTTTGAGCAACAATGATTTTATTAAGCAAACAAACAAAATGATCTGAATAAAATAACCAACTTGTTAAGTTATGTTCAGAAGGATATGTAAAAATGTTGGTTGTTCTTCAACCTTTAACATGGAAAACAGTAAAATCTGGGTGATTGGTAAAGCTCTACTAAAATCCTCTGTGAACTGAATCTCATTTAGTCTCAAATGTTCTTTATGTTGGGATTTCTTAATTTGTTTTCCAAAAGAACTTCTCTTTTAAAAAAAAACTAAAACAAAAGTTATTATGACAAAATTGAAATATTTTCTTTATAATTTAAAAAAAAACGACAGATTTTTATTATGTTTCAGCCAAATTATGATGGATGTAGACTGGTTGCCACCATGACTTTATGTGAACTCTTAGTACTTTTGATGGCATCATCAATAACAATTTACTCAGTGCCTTGTCAAGGTAAGGAAGTTAGTTATTGAAAGTCTATTTGCATACTTCACTAGTCTAAGAAATGTATGACATTATAATGCCATTTGATAAAGGTTTAGGCCTATTACTATTAACCAAAAGGATTGGTTTATAATTGCTTTATTATTTCACTATCAAAATAACTATAAGAAAGGAGCAACACGTTTCCTTTTGGGGCATTCAAATGAATTTTATGAGGTGGTACATAAATATTACTCCAGAGTTATTCTCCTTGTTTTACTAGCTATCATTATTTTATCCGGGATGGTATTCCATGCAAGGAACATAACACTGACATTTCTTGTTATGGTGGGTTTAAAACAACTACTTCAATCTCACCAGCTTCTATGCTTGTAATATAATGTTGCTGCTCTTAAACTGGTCAAAATCTCAAATTAGTATCTCGCTTATAACAATGATTCAAATCTAGGAGAGGGCTGGAATGGTGGCTATTACTGATGGCCTTAAACCCTCCCACATCATCATAGTTAAAAAGTAAGCAGTGTGAACAGACTGTACATTGGAATATATTTATGTAGTACAGTCACGAACTAATTTTTTAAATTCTGTGTGCAAAGCAAGTTCTCAGAGTGCAACATTTTAGGAATGTGCTTAACACAATCAAAGAAAATCTACAGATTGTTGGCATCCGAAATGAATATTACTTCATGACTCGATTTGAAATAGTTTGAAAATTTTAAAGACTGTTTTCTAAACCAAGGAAAAAAATTTGTGATAAGGACTGATATCAAATTTGTTTGTTTCAAATTCTACCCGTGTTTCCATGCTAAGAACATACCACTGACATTTCTTGCAATGGTGGATTTTAAACAACTAGTTCAGGCTCACCAGCTTCTCTGGTTGAAGTCAGGCTGACCAGCTTCTCTGGTTGAAGTCTAAAGCTGCTGCTCTGAAACTGGTCCAAATAACAATGGTCCCCGTTGAGGTTACCTGTATGATATTATATCAAAGGACAGGTATGCATAAATATTTAAATGTTCTTTTCTTTCCTAAAACTGCTTCTAGTTTTCTAAATGATCTTTATATCTAAATCTACCATTACGTCATTCAGCGGACCAACTAACTAATACATATGTTCTGGTGAGGGTCTGAGATTACGCTCTTATGACCCCGGCTAGTATATTGGCTACCAACTCCATCTGCTGAGCAGAGCCATACATTTTCCTCAGGTAGGGCTCTCCAACCTCCCTGGCTTCCCCCTGAACATCTTGTGAGGGGCATTCAGTTGACAGGTGCGCTAGTGTTTCTGGGTGGTGGCTGAAATGCCGGCAGGTAGGGTCCCCGTTGTTATCTAACTTCCAGAAGTATGTGCCAATGAGGCAGTGCTCTGTGGGCATCTGAGTCACTAGACTCTGCTTTCTACGGCCCAACCCTCACCATGGGTCTTGTCTGTTAGGAGTGGGCAAGTTTGAAAATACGCCTCTTGTGGACGTGTTGTCTGCCCATTGCATGTACCATTTCATCTTGAAGTGGTCTGCCAGCCAGTTCTTAATTTCCAAATAAGTTATTGGTACTTCTGGCTGAGGCTGGGCAGCCCTGGTTTTTGCCAGTGTGTCCGCTTTCTCATTGCCACTGATGTTGAAATGCGCTGGGATCCATTGCACTGTTACCTTGCCTCCTAGTTCTGCGGACCAACTAGATGAGTAGTGTCAATAAGGGGGAGTGGGGATAGCAGACAGGAATGGGTGACACCCGCACAGAAGAGTAACATTATATAGACAATTTGCAAATTTGACATAGTTTGCTTGAGTTAGTTTCATAATAACAGAACTCAGCGAAATACAAAAAGTGGGTCCAACCAGAACAGGGTGTCATCAGATCAGGGCTCTACCTAGAGTAAGTTGCAAATAGAACAGTGTATTAAAAGATTATGTTTTGCACCAGTACATGTTGTCACCTGAAGGAAGTTTCACCAGAGCAGGTTATCACCAGAACAGGGTGTCACCAGATCACTGTGTCACCATAGCTGGAGACCACTGAACCAGGTTGCCACCAGATCACAGTAGCATCATAGCTGGAGACCACTAAACCAGATTGCCACCAGATCATGGTGGCATCATAGATGGAGACCACTAAACCAGATTGCCACCAGATTATGGTGGCACCATAACTGGAGACCACTAAACCAGGTTGCCACCAGATCATGGTGGCACCATAACTGGAGACCACTAAACCAGGTTGTCATCAGATCATGGTGGCATCATAGATGGAGACCACTAAACCAGGTTGCCACCAGATCATGGTGACACCATAACTGGAGACCATTAAACCAGGTTGCCATTAGATCATGGTGGCACCATAACTGGAGACCACTAAACCAGGTTGCCACCAGATCATGGTGGCACCATAACTGGAGACCATTAAACCAGGTTGCCATTAGATCATGGTGGCACCATAACTGGAGACCACTAAACCAGGTTGCCATCAGAATACTGTGTCACCATAACTGGAGACCACTAAACCAGGTTGCCACCAGATCATGGTGTCATGGTTGCATCATAGCTGGAGATGACTTAACCAGGTTGCCATCAGATCACGGCGGCACCATAACTGGAGGCCACTAAACCAGGTTGCTACCAGATGACGATGGCATCATAGCTGGCAACGACTTAACCAGGTAGCCACCAGATCACGACGGCACCATAACTGGAGACTACTAAACCAGGTTGCCATCAGATCATGGTGGCACCATAACTGGAGACCACTAAACCAGGTTGCCATTAGATCATGGTGGCATCATAGCTGAGATCAATTAACCAGGTTGCCACCAGATCATGGTGGCATCATAGCTGGAGACCACTAAACCAGGTTGCCACCAGATCATGGTGGCATCATAACTGGTGACCACTAAACCAGGTTGCCATCAGATCACGGCGGCACCATAGCTGGATACCACTAAACCAGGTTGCCACCAGAGAAGGCAGACTCAAAAGAGGTCTGAAAGGGTGACATGATAAATTTACCACATTGTGATACACCAGCCCTAGTGATGCCACCGATCTGACTATTTCAGACTGTTGGTCTATATATAATACAATAGAGCTTTGATTTTCTTAATGCTGATTATCTGAAATGCCCCTGCCTTCTTTATTATTATTATCCTACGAAATGTTCATGGCATGGAGCATAGGCGTACAAACGCGGGAAAAATATTCTTACCTCTATTGCTCTATCCAAATAAAATCTTAAAAAGTATTGTACATGCAGTAACCAGACTGGGACATTTCAATCTGCAAATTTTTTAATGAATAAAAAGCATAGACAAATTGACCTCTGATATTAATCTAATCCCCGGTCATCTATTTTTGGAAACATCCTCTAAATTCAATCCTCATTTATTTTTGACATCCATTAGCTTACCCCAAAACACAATGTGGTGTGATGAAGACACTGTACACCATAGTTGTTTAGCATTCAAATATAATGTATTAATTAACCAAGTGGTTCTCAAACGTTTTTTGACCACCTCCCCATTGGGACTCGTCCTCAGGGTCCCTATATAAATACATAATTTCCATTACCCTCAATAATAACACAATTAAATGTCGAAGTATAACATTGAGCAGAGTATTTTATTAAGTACAAATGAAATATTTTACCTTTATTAATTATGAAATAAGATGATTAATTCAACAAATATATCAGCTCTTTACTATAGCATGGTTATTAGCACCAGTTTTAATCTCTAATGTCTCCACTATGTTCTTATTTCTATAAATGGCCGAGTGGTCTAAAGTGAGTCAATCCCAAACTAGTGGACTGGAGTTCAATCCCCACCAAAGGCAAAAACATCACCAGAAACCCAGGTGGATGGGACTTGTTAACCTTTGATGGCAACTCATCTTAGAGAAGGCAAGCTCTGAAATCAAACCTTGTATGCATTATATTACTGACAAAATGAAAATTTCAACAACTCTGCTGGTCATCTACTGCATCCTGGTTTATTTCCAGTCATCTTGACTAAGTTTTGCCATCGAATCAAATAGGCAGGGACAAGAACGTGATGTTGATGAGTTGAACAACTCTCCATCACTTCAAACAAAATATAGCTCAAGTCAAGGCTTCTACTTCGGTCGAAAAAATTGCCTTAGTTATCTTCATGTTCAAAGGACGAATATCTATAGTAAGCAAATTTCTGTTATTTATTTGAACAGTGCAAAGTTGACAACAGCACTTTAACCACCTACCAACACTTCAACCACCTTCCACCAAACAATATTACGAATGAAACAACCAGCTTCTTAGCCAACTTCCAGTGGGGCAGAACAGCTGTAAAAATTCTCCTGTTTAAGTCAAAATACTTGGTGCTAATTCATAAAAGTTGGCTTCTGTTCAATATAATTTTTTGGATCAGCCTCCAGCTCACCAACTGCCAAAATTATAAAACAGATTCATCACACAAAATCTGATTGAAATCAACATACAGTGTGGGCCAATAAAAGTGAGAACATCTTGTAAAATATTACGCTACGAAATGTTCTCACTTTTATTGGCCCACCCTGTATTATCTAATGTAGAAAATACAAAATTTAAAATTGCTCCCATTATTTGTAAATCATGTTGCATCAAACATTTCTCTTCTTACTCAAACTGGCTAGGAAAATATGCCTGGAGACAAACAATACTGTACTTAAAAGAGTAAGTTTAAAGTAAGGAAGACAGATTTGATTTCAATAAGCTTGATCACACTCTCTGGCAAATTCCAACTTATTTTTTAAAATTCAGCAAATATTTGTGATAATAATCAATTTTGTGTTGAGATCTGCATTAAGTCTACAAATCTTGCCAAATCATTTGTTAAAGTGATTCCAAAAATGTCATGAATCAATGTTTGTGTCAAACTTAATTTGATGCCCTTATGGCAGTAATTTTTAGCCTACAGTTGATTTCAAAGCTTTGTTGATAATTACTTGCACAATGAATTTTTAAGACATTTGGTACCATTTTCTTTTTCCATAATCTGTACAAACACACCGTTACTTCTAGTCATTAATAATCCTCCATCATTTGCATGATAATTTTTTTAGCGGAATTTCTTTAAAGATCTGTTCAAGAGCATGAAATATTGACACCACTGCCTATAATCTGTTTCTAGATGTCTGGCTAATAGTTGTGCCAAGTCCAAATTTGGTGTTAAAAATGTACATGAGTCAGAAGAAAGATAAATTAACTAATTTTCATCCAGTTCTGATAAAATGTCAATATTATCTTCCATATTATCATCCATGATTCTATGAACTTAAAAATTCAGTGCTGTATGTGATTCTACAGATACGGCAATCAACAGTGCAATGTTATAATTCATGCAAGAAATCATTCTTTCAATGAGAGGCATTGCAAAACATACTTGACAATATTTTCCCAAAAATTTTAATTTCTTTTGAATAAACCAATTATTGTCATCCCACATTGCTTGAGAACCATCTAATGGTGTACATGTATTGTTAATGGTTGCTTGCATTTCTGTTTAAAAGTTACATCTAAAGACTTTTATCTCTTATAAACATTAACACACAGTCTTATTTCATTTCGGCTTTCAAAAAGTTTGGCATCTTTCTTTAAAATATTTAATTTTAATTTAATAACTGTTGTTGATATTAACATCACCCCTTTTTCAAGTCCAAGTGCCCTTCAATTATTTCTGTCATGCCCACCCCCGCTCACTTGGAGAACCACTGCATTAACCTCTTTAGCACAATCTGTTTGTGTGTTAAGTGAACCACCCCAAGCCAGTTTGTGTGTTAAGTGAACCACCCCCAATCAGTTTGTGTGTTAAGTAAGTGAACCACCCCAAGTCAGTTTTTGTGTTAAGTAAGTGAACCACCCCAAGTCAGTTTTTGTGTTAAGTAAGTGAACCACCCCAAGTCAGTTTGTGTGTTAAGTGAACCACCCCCAATCAGTTTGTGTTAAGTAAGTGAACCACCCCAAGTCAGTTTTTGTGTTAAGTGAACCACCCCCAATCACAAGTAATTCCAATGATCAACACTTATACTTATATATTATAAACATCTTAAAAATACATATAGCTGCAGTTAATATTTAAATTGTGGAAATAATAATAAATATTTGTTGTATCATAATTAATCAGTTGAAAGTTATTCTATTTTGTTTCTTTCAGCAGCACAGAAGTGTAATTATACATTCAGTTATTTGAATGGTGCTGTAGGAAACTTCAGTAGTCCAGGGTTTCCAGATTACTATCCATCACTGCTGAGGTGCACATACTTGTTTGATGCTGCCAAAAATGGTGGGGTGGAAATTAAGTTTGACGCCTTTGAGCTGGAAGATGGGAAAGAGGGTGAACAAATGTAAGTCAAATTTTCTCTAAATAATGCAAACCCCATTAGTAGGACTCTAAAGAATAACATTTTGTACAAGATAGAGTAATATATAGGTAGCTTCAATTGGATTGAAACAAAAATATATAACATTTATACTTTCTTTTATTCAAACAAATTTAAATGAAATTTTGATTACATAAAGACTTGCCAGTTTATTTAAATCTAAATAAAAATGTTTTGCTTTATTTTATTTTTTTTAAAAGCAGAAATATTTTCAAATGTACAAAATGCACATAATCTCATGATAGTAAATCATATTGCATATGCTATCGGAACTTCAGTTACCTAATGAGAATAAATCATATTGCCTATGCTATTGGAAATTCACTTGTAACTACTTAAAATAATGATTTATTGACTAAAGAAAGAACAAGGTCTGAAGCAATTCATTTGCATTTTCTACTATAATTTTTGCATGAAAATAAAACCTTGCAACTATTGTCAATATTTGTCAGTTGCAGATACGACTATATTGATGTCTACACCATGGATTCTCAAGGATTTAAAACATTACTAAATAAATTTTGTGGTCGTAAGATTCCCCAGACTATAATTTCCCCCCAGTCAAAGTTGGAAATTGTTTTTGTCACTGATCACTGGCAAAACTCTGCCACAGGGTTTAGCGGAAGATATCGCTTTCTCGGAGAAGGTAAATCTCAGGTGTTGTTTTCATTTTGTGAATGTAGTCAAGTGGGGTTGAAATTTTGATTCAATTTGTCTGAAATGTTGCTTTAATTCTGGACATACATTTTTGAAAACTCTTATGTAGTTTCAGTTCTGTTTCTGCTCTGCATTTCAGATTGGCAACCATTTGACCATAAAGCAAATAGGTGTGGCAATGACAACTTGTCGGGAGTTGCTGGATTCATCCAATCTCCAAACTACCCAAGAAAATATCCACCTAATGTTAACTGTTCTTGGGTCATTAATGTGCCTGAAAACCAACAGATTCTGCTACGATTGTTGGACTTGGATATAAGCCATGGCCGTAAGATTTATAAATATACTTGTGGTCATATTTTAAATTGGCGTTTAGATTCTATTTACTAAAGAACGCAAAGCCGTAAAGGGATATCAAGTTACACCGAATGTTTATGGTTTATACAAGTTTTAGTCTAATGTTATTATTAAGGGATTATCAAGCCCCTATAAACACGAGAGAGAGCTCCAAGTTTTACTAACTTTTGTTAGCCTATTATTTTATTATTTTTTAAATACAGTAAAAGATTGTAATTCCTTTTTTTCTCTTAGCCCACTGCACCGACGCCAAGCTACAACTTTATAATGGCTATGCCACAACTATGAGTGTATACACACGTGAATGGTGTGGACTAATGTCATCATACGATACAGATGAGCTACAGTATGTCACATTTACCAACAGAATGGTGGTTCGATTTCTCTCAGGATCCAATAATAACAATCATCATTTTGGATTTAAACTTCTCTGGATGGGAATTACACTGCCACAAGAGTCAGGTTGATAAATTCCTTCTTTAAATTGTATGTTTCTAATTTTTGTTCTATGGAACCCAATTCATCACTTTTTTCTCTCTCTATGGGCTGCCCCTTCAGTTGATACCACCTTTCTTCTGTTCTTTCCACATATTTTTCCAGAGTAACATTCTGGATGCTCCATAGCCAACTTTTTCTTGTGTCTCTGGGACTCCCAGACGGAATATTAACCCTATAACTGTCAAGAACATTATTCTATGGTAGCGTCAAACCATTTTTAGCAATTTCATTTTCTTGTCGAAAATGACAAAAATCCCAGGATAAATGAATTCAGAGACCCTTACAAATATACATTTTTTGAAAGTACATTGGACAAGGTATCTTGCGGTGCAAAAAGAATTTGTTTATATATTGTGTATGTTGATGTTAAGCTTGACCATTACAAAGTGAGTTAAATTTTAGTACTCAACTTCTGAATTCAACCCACCCTAAATACTCCATAAATTGTTCAAACTATCATAAAATCAAGTTTTTGTATACTAGACAGCAATAATCTTTCAGAAAATGTCAAGTTATAGGAACTTGTGATATTGGTGAATTGTTTCATTCACTACCTTCAAATTTCTGTCGTACAAAATACAAGGAGGGAAGGCAAGAAATGAGTTCAAAAATTCCTTCTCAATTGAAGTTATTAAATCCATTTTTTATTTATTAATGCTCCAGAACATACACAATCAAAAATATCTTTGTTGCAAATCTTTGGAATCCAATCTGTGTCTTTTTCTGTTCAATTTTCACTCTTTCCCAAACGAATTTGTCAGTAACAATATGACTAAGCTTAGAGATAAACTTGTCAATATCTAGCTCTTATCTCGACATCATTGCTAGAGCTAATCCTGTCATTACTAGCATGTGAATATCTCTGAGTTCTTTGCTTTCATTTTAATATATTTGAAATAATTCCAATAAAGAAATTCTGTGTTAAATTTGAAGGGGGGTGGGGGGGCTCTGACAAATTTCACACCCGCTTAAAATTAATCACAAAAATATCCCCGATAAAAGCACGTTAACACACTGATAGTAACGGAAATAGGAAGTGAACTCATTTATATAGAGTAATTTCCCTTTAAACAATTTCATTAAATCATTCCCATTGTTAATGACAATGTTGCTAGCAGCCGACCGACCGATTATATCGGCCTTGACACCACAAAAAGGGTATAAGGGCCGATCATCGGCCATTATGACAGTTTTAGGGTTAACATTGACACATCTTGACACTCCGGTAGAACTAAGTAATCTAGTACAGCATTACCCAACATTTTTGAGCATTGAAAAATTTGGTTTTGCCCCACTAGTGGAATAGCTTAAAATATAATTCAATCAGGCCTTCAAATCCTAACAATCCTTAGTAGGCTACTCATAATCTGCTGAATAAGTTCTAAAGAAAGAGATACAAAATAATTTTCATCATCATCCTGATCCAGCATGTTTTCCTTAGTTGTTCCATGTCTCCCTGTAGTGTGTTAGTGAAGTCTGGTATTTGTGGTATATAATTAAGGAGCAAGTTCTGAAGTTCTGGGCTGTGAAAGAGTCACTGTACTGTGTTACTATCTGAGTTGGATGTTTACAGAGGGGGTGTGTTTGTATTCTTGATTTATGCAGTTAAGTGTGAGTTAAGTTGAATGTGCCGTGTTTGGATGTAAGAGATTATGACTTGTTCTCGAGTTTGGAGGCAAGTTAAAGGGCAGAACACCAACATGCCCCCTCTGCAAACTTTATAATGTTAATACTGATACTGGATTCTAATGAGTTCAAATATAAATAATTTTCTTTTCATATGTGTATGTCTTCTCTCATCTTAAAAGTTTAAATCTTATCAGTTGACCACTACCGATTTGCCTAGATGACATTTCTATTCTGTCACAAATGAGAAAAATACCAAGAAAAAAAATATTAGGGTCATAACATAGAGATTGATTTTAACATTAATCAGCCAAGTTGGAGTTGGTTGACTTAGAACCATAGATAAACATACTAGATCTTTCATATATAATGATCCCTTCGATGATAAGATAAAATTAGGCAATTGAGAAGTAAATAATTGTTACGTATTTATTTTAGAGATGGTCATAACTCTTTGCTTTTGAAGTCCTATAAAATAAAGATTTGACAGCAAAATTAAAACCTGGTTAATAAAATAGTATAATGCCAGCATTCATTGCAAAAAAGCCTCAAGCCAAAAAAATGTACAAAATAAATGAGTGAAAATAAAAGCATCACTTTTTTAGTCATCTGGCCACACTTGTGGTCATTTGTTATTGCATCACCCTTCGCAGTGTTAGCAGAAACGTTTAAATTTGTGGTTTTTCTTTTAATTCAAGCATAACCAATGGATTAGTTGGAGTGTGTCATGCCTGGGGCTGTCGTTTATGCATTCTGAACCAATGGAATAGCTGGAGTTTGTTATGCCTGGGGCTGTCCTTAATGCACACTGAACCAATGGAATAGCTGGAGTTTGTTATGCCTGGGGCTGTCCTTAATGCACACTGAACCAATGGAATAGCTGGAGTTTGTTATGCCTGGGGCTGTCCTTAATGCACACTGAACCAATGGAATAGCTGGAGTTTGTTATGCCTGGGGCTGTCCTTAATGCACACTGAACCAATGGAACAGCTGGAGTTTGTCATGCCTGGGGCTGTCCTTAATGCACACTGAACCAATGGAACAGCTGGAGTTTGTTATGCCTGGGACTGTCCTTAATGCACACTGAACCAATGGAATAGCTGGAGTTTGTTATGCCTGGGGATGTCCTTAATATAAGCTACAAAAAGTATAGGAAGAGGCTGTCTCTCTCCCCCCCCCCCACCCGCCTTTTCTCCATATATCAATGAGCATAGTCATTCTGTTTATATTACATACATTTTTTGTATCATATTGACTTAAAGGCCAGGAGCTGGAGACATATGGGCACAGTTGAAATGAGGAGGGCTGTTTATCTGTCAAGCAAAATTTAAACCCAAAGTTTTCAAAGTTTAGAATAGCAGAATAAAGCTTTTAAAATTCACAACTTTAAATTACTTTTTATTATTATCAGGAAATACCTTTTAAACACCTGATTAAATCTTATTAGAATAAATAAAAAAAAGGGAAAATTAGGAAGGTGTGTGACGAGATGTTGAACCTGGTGTGATGTGTTCATCTACCCATGGCGATGTGTTCATCTACCCATGGCGATGTGTTCATCTACCCATGGCGATGTGTTCATCTACCCATGGCGATGTGTTCATCTACCCATGGCGATGTGTTCATCTACCCATGGCGATGTGTTCATCTACCCATGGCGATGTGTTCATCTACCCATGGCGATGTGTTCATCTACCCATGGCGATGTGTTCATCTACCCATGGCGATGTGTTCATCTACCCATGGCGATGTGTTCATCTACCCATGGCGATGTGTTCATCTACCCATGGCGATGTGTTCATCTACCCATGGCGATGTGTTCATCTACCCATGGCGATGTGTTCATCTACCCATGGCGATGGGTGTCTACTTGTTTGGGCCAAGTCTTTCACATCATCCCATGAGACGGTCCATCTGACAGCAACAGCCACTTATACAACAAAACTAACCTATTTGTTGCATTATATGAATTTATTTACCAATACAATTCCTTAACTATTGCTGTGATATAATTTCAGACTAATAATCCAATCGTTCCAGCCAAACACTGAGCATCACACAACTCCATACAGTCAATATAGTACAAACACCATCTATCCACCATAACAACTAAAACTTATTTCCCATTACCTAAATATGTTGTACAATCGATAGAGCTACACATGAAATCTCTAAATTTAACATCTTTTACATACCAAACATAACAACAGTGATCTACACATAACAACAGTGAGTCTCATACCTTTGGCAATGGGAAATACTTTAAAATGAAAGAAAAGAGAAAATTACCACAAGAAGCCAAAATTTAAATCTCATTTAATAATGTAGTTTTCATGGAAAACCATTGCACAGGCCTGCATTAAAGAGTTTTATCTCAAAAATGGCAAGATTAGATTACTTCAGAATATCTTTTTAACAAGATTTTAGCCTCTACAGTTTTCATACAAGATTTATTTTCTTTTAATATTTACATTTGCATATTGTTTTTTGTATTCTTTAGGGGAATGTACTAACTTCAGATGTGAAGGTGGTCAGTATTGTCACAATGGCTTACCTTGTGTGAATTTGCCTAAATATTGTATATCGCGCCAACTGGTGTGTGATGGCATCAGAAACTGTGGACCTTTTGATGACAGTGATGAGCGGAGATGTAAGTTTGTTGTATTGAATCAGGGGCGTAGCTAAGGGATGGCAGAGGGGACAGATGTCCCTGGGCGTCAGACTAGTTAGGGGCGTCAAAATGTGCTTTGATATTATTTTATTGATGAAAATAATGGGTTTGAGAGTTGAAAAAAGAAAGTGAGGCGCTTTAAAATGAATCTTGTCCCCGGTGCCAAACACTATAGCTACGCCTCTGAATTGAATGTGAAGCCACCTTGACACCAAACACTATAGCTACGCCTCTGAATTGAATGTGAAGCCACCTTGACACCAAACACTATAGCTACGCCTCTGAATTGAATGTGAAGCCACCTTGACACCAAACACTATAGCTACGCCTCTGAGACACCAAACACTATAGCTACGCCTCTGAATTGAATGTGAAGCCACCTTGACACCAAACACTATAGCTACGCCTCTGAATTGAATGTGAAGCCACCTTGACACCAAACACTATAGCTACGCCTCTGAATTGAATGTGAAGCCACCTTGACACCAAACACTCTAGCTATGCCTCTGAATTGAATGTGAAGCCACCTTGACACCAAACACTCTAGCTACGCCTCTGTATTGAATATTAAGCCACCTTCACACTGGATTTTGTTCAGCCTTAAATCTCAGTGAAAAATGCATTTTGAGAATCATCGGCTTTTTGTTGATGATTACAATCTCTAGAAACTGGTGATTGACACAGATATCCTACGTAGGTGTTCAGTGATGACACAGATATCCTACGTAGGTGTTCAGTGAGCAGTAACAACTCTGGATTCTTTTTATGATGCAGAGCTTTTGTTTAGATTTACATTCTAGGTCAGCAATCAGCATAGGGTTGTCAGATGCACAAATGGAAAAGAAGGACATTTCATTTGGAAAAGGTTGGGAAAAGAAGGACATTACATTTTGAAAAGGTTGGAAAAGGAGGACATTACATTTGGAAAAGGAGGACATTTTATTTTGAAAGGAAGCCATTTCAAAATGAAACCAAATTTAAGATATAAATATTTATTCTAAAATAAACAAAATTAGATATTTGAACATACCTTTGGCAGTAATTAGGCATTTAAATTAGTTCTCAAAGATGGTTATTTATTTTTTTAAAATTTCTTTGTTTCTTAAGAGGTAACTGTAAAAATCCAAGATATTTATATTCTTGAAATTGTACCGTGTTGGTGTAACCCAGCTAAAAATCTCAGTGGCAAATCTGCAATGTGAACACATCTTTTATACCAATAAATCTCAGTGACAACTCTGCAGTTTGAACACATCTTTATACCATAAATCTCAGTGACAAATCTGCAATGTGAACATTTCTATATATTAACAAATCTCATTTACAAATTTGCAATGTGAACATATCTATATACCAATAAATGTCAGTTACAAATCTGCAATGTGAACATATCTTTATACCAATAAAGATTAGTGACAAATCTGAAATGTGAACACATCTTTATACCAATAAATCTCAGTTCATCACTTCTGTTTTATTCTGCAAAGAAATAGTCCTTATGAACTGATAGAACTATAAGTGATAAGCATGATTAATAAACAAAAATTTAATCATTTTTTATGTGAATTGTGCTATTAAATTACCATTGGCAGAAATTTTAATGTTAACCTATTTTTTTAACCCATTACGGCTGAGTGCACAATAAATGAACCACACAGGACCAGCCAATGTTCCTATAAACTCAAGCTTTAACTTTAACCAACAAGTAATATTTGGACCAAACCTCTCACACAAAGCTATGTCTTACCACTGATCATTTAAAAAAAATTTCAATGAAGGCGCTGGTCCTACTTTTTATACCCGTTTAAATTGTATTACCACCTTAAATTTAAATATTTTCTGTTACTTGATCTACCTCTTTATCTTCCATCCACTCTGAAAATACATTAATTTCACCACCTATTCTCTTACCATCACAACTTGATGTAAATGTCTTTATTAAACTTCTTTACTAATTCCTTTAACCGAATGTAAACACCCCTCCCCCCTCAAAAAATTTTTTTTTTTACTTATGCTGATAAATCCCCTTTCTTTATGGTGCAGGCTTGAACCAACCTGTCTGACATAAATTATTACTCTTAACTTACTTTTATCTGATGCTAATGTTGCTGTAATATGCATTCAAGGTATGAAGGAGATCCTGATTATTACAGCCTGCATTGCTGTGCCAAGTGTAATTCTTCTAATGACAGTTGGAACAATTGTATATTGCTACAAGAGCAGACATGTGAAAAAGTCAACATCAGAAGATCAGCAATTAACACATAGTCAAAGCCAGGTAAACGAAATCAAAATATTTTAACGTTATTTCAAAATGTATTTTATTTTTAAGCTGTTCTCCATAGTTAAACCTGCATTTCCCTAAACTGTTCAAAAGTTTATTACCATTATAAGTTTTTACGCATGTTACCTTGTTATTTTAGTTATAATATAAGCTAGGCAGTGAAGTACCAAAGAATTGGTGTTGCGCGAGGCAGGCCAAGATTTTTGCCACCTCCCTCCCATGAAAAGAAAACTGCGGTTGGCAAAAAATGCCGCCCCTTAATATAAAAAAAGTGCCACCCAGGGCATACCACCCCCACCCCACCCCCTTATGACATCACTGGAACTAGGGCTTTAAAAAATACCTTCTCACACGACCAGATCTAGGACTGTATAAAATAACTTCTTACATGACTGGGGCTAGGGCTTTTTAAAGTACTTTCTTACTAATCTTACACCACCAGCTCTAGGACTTTATAAAATAACTCCTTACATCGCTGGGGCTAGGGCTTTATAAAATAACATCTTACACTACTGGAACTAGGTTTTTTTCCATTCTATAACTTAAAGTTAGGTTTTATCTATTTTTTTTTAAAAGCCTAGCATTAATTGCCTGGTTTACTCACAGTAAAAGAGCTGTACTTTGCTTAAAAAAAACATCTATTCCATGATCCAAGATTTTGACATTCACAGCCATCACACTTGAGCTTGTTATTATTGATGCTTAACAGGGTACCACATCAAGAGAATCATTCAATCGTCAAATGATTTTACACACCAGTTTTATTGATGGTGCTAGTGCAGTATTCAATGATCAAACCCTACTTCCTGACTTTAATGACTTGGGCCAAATTGTAAGGATTGCAGTTTTATATATATTTAATTATTTATACTTATGAATTGATATTATTTGATAAGGTACTTTTTTTTTTTTTTTTTTTTTTTATTTTTTTTTTCAGTTTTTTTTTTTTTTTTTTAATTATTTTTTTTTTTTTTTTTTTTTAAATTCTCATACAGGTTTTATATTTATCATTTAAATGATATTTTTTTAAATGGTGAAAGAGATATTTTAGATCCATCAGCTGAGGCTCAGTCCAAATTGGGGCTGTTGTTTTATACAGTTTTTAAAATAGCAATGCTTACATTTTTCCTGATAGAAGTGTTACCTTGCCTCATCATTGAATATTACCAAATTACTGTTAATACAAGGAATTGGAGTGTTAAATGCAATGTTTATGAAACGTTTAAAGTAAAATCAAATTGTCATTTTCTTCCAGGTTGAAGAATAAGATCTCTCTTTTTTAATTTAAAAAAAAAACGTATATATTTGTGCTTTTTTTTTTCCTAAAGGAACCAAACTATACAAGCCATATTTATTCAGATGAGTCTTCCAGAAGTCTACAAACTCATAAAAAGAGGCCTTCATACCATATGATGCAGCAGAGCTATGAAGATGGGAACCTCATTATGGCACAGAGTTGAAAATAAATTAAGTCGTTTTACATATTACATCATTTTCAAATCTAACATTGCATATAATATCCTTTTCACGGCTAACAATACATTACATACTTGTATTACATTTACATCCTTAGCATAGCCAACATTACACATGACACCTTTTTCTCAAATAACATTACATATGACTTATTTGCAGTTAGTATTACATATGATATCCTTTCCATAACTTAAAAAACCAAATAATGCCCTTCTACTTGTATATTTCAAGCCTAAGTGTAGCCCCCAACCCCATGCTCCCCAGTAGCAGGCTAGGATGTAGCAAAGGTATATATTGCCCACTAGAGCATACTTTATACATGGGGAGCTAATAAAAATTGTTTGCTTGTTACAGGCTCCTCTAAAATCTGTGCTAGATCCCCTTACAATAAAATTTTACTTTTTTTTTTTTAGAGGATCCATATAAAATTAGATGTAATGTTATCCATTTATTGTGGCTAATTTTTAATATTCCTAACAGCATAACTAAAAAGATATATAAATCAAAATGTGTTGCAATGTTTTTAATGTTAAATTTATGTCATGTCATAAACCTTGTGGAAACCATATTCATTTTAAAGCATTTTTATGTGTTGTACCTGGTGGGAGAAAGTACCAATACAGAGTTAGAAGCATGGTTGTAGGCAGTTACTGGCCAAATTATAAATTGGCTAATTAATTTTGCATTAATGTTAGCATAATAAATTATTTTGGAATTTTTTAAAATCAACTTATGTGAGATGTATCGCTTGTCCAGCTTTGCTTGAACTTTAATATACCAAAGCAATCTTCAAGATGCTGGTTTACGGAAGAAAGGGAGCTATCTTACTAGTTGAGTATTAAGGGAACAACCACTTGCATTTGCTAAATTCTTCTGAGGCTTAAAAAATGTATCGTTCATTTTTACACCTTATTTTTTAAAAAAGGTTTTTGGCATTCCACCAAGATGATTTCATGTTTCAATACATTTTCTTTACTGCATTAGTCCTACATATTTTTTGTAAACATGTTAATTAAAAATAATTGTACCTATTGCAGTGACATGCTCTAAGAGCCACATATGCCTTACTAATAATGCTGTACGGTAGTGACTGAAAATGCATTGAAATCGAGAAATTCACGTTGAAATTGGTTGAAACATTTTCCTAAAAATATATATAGTAAAGGGGGCCATGAAGTACACAGGCTAGTGATGTTAGTTGGCCACTAATTTTTTATGATAATGCAAACAAACTGGGCAGATATAGACTTAAGCCTTTCTTGAAAAGTGTTAACAGCAGTGTCCTAAAATGTAGACTTTTGGATTTATCTTCTATTATACCGTGCTTTATGCAATAATATAACACTTTCTTGGTTAAGTCACCCACTGACAATCTAACCTGAATAATGTAAATAACTCAAAACTTCTCTGGAATTTCCTCAAGCTATTTTTAACTAAGGTCCTGCTGAAAGATGATAACATTGATCAAAATTATTGAAGAGAAATCAATTTAATTATGAAAAGAAATCATTGAAATTGCTCTCTGTATTTGTATTTCAAATCTTGAACTTGAAGCTTTGCATTTATTACTATCATACTTTTGTGAAAATAAGTAATTGATTTTATTGATCATTTGACTCTTCCATCACCACAATTATACTTGTTATATTTGTATGGAAACATTCCATTGGACAATGGACATGTTTAATAAGCAATTTTTGTTTTTAAAAAAATGTTTGAACTTCTCTGCATATAATGTAGCAGTGGAATAAGTGAAGTACCAAAGCAGTTGATAATAATGACAAAGCAGAGAATATGTTGGTGGATTATACAAATGATACATTTACTTGGTGCATATGTACAGAGCTGCTGCTAAATTATGCCAGTTAAACTGATACAAATGGCCTAAAACCACAGAGAGACCCAGAGTGTAGTGTCTGTGTGAGAGAAACTAGAATAATGGTTAGAAAATTTAGAGGAGGCACCCAAAAAAAAAAATCATTATTTTTTGGCAGTATGTTAGAATCTAACCTTGTTTAGGAAAAAAAAATTATGTGACAATGGCCTGGCATATGCATAGAGTTCCATGTGCAATTTTTGTACCTATTCAGTTGTAACAATATTAGTATGACTTGTATTAAAGTACAAGTGACATTACAGTTAGATGTCAAGTAACATTACAGTTAGATGTCAGTTCTATGCACCATAAATGTTTGTATTTGGAGGTTAAAACTAGGGCTCCCTAGGCAGCACTTATTGAAAGTAATGCACAATTGTTGTCTTTATTTATAGCTTAGCCATGGCAGCTTTTCCTGGTCAGTGTATCTACCAGTATCAATAACTAACTACATAAAATAGCCGTTTCATTAGTACTAAAAAGACATGTTCATTTCAATGTGTCATGTGTGTTCTGTTAAGTCACAAGTGGATTCAAATCGTTTAAAACAGATTGATTTGAAAACACCCCATACCTGTTTCAAACTCTCCCCATTATGATCATCAGAAATGTCTTAAGTAGCCGGGACCAGAACTATACAATGAAGTATAATTATGAGGTATTTTGCCATTTTGTGAGATGAAGCATTTTTCTACTAGATCTATACATATTTGTGGACCATTGAGTGTGTATAAGTGTATTCAGTTATTTCATCAGCCATGCACTAATCATTAAATTAAATGAAGGACTAAACCATATTACATCCAGTGATTATTGGTGCAAAAATGGTTGCTGTATTAAACACATTAATTTACTTGTTTTTATCAACCTTTTCTTGACTGCTGTAAATTTTTTAAAAATGTAAAATTATTTAAATAAATGTTTCCTGTAACATGTTGGACTACACTGGTAAGGTTTGTATTTTCATAAAGGATTTTTATTAGTTAATACATTATGATTTGAATTTGAAACTTATATGGTCATAGAATTATTATATTTTTTAAAAAAAACTAGTTGAAATTATTTAGGCATAGATACTAACATCTTGAAGTTTGTATGTTCATTAGCAAAGACTGAAACGTTTAACAAACAATATGCATCAACACTTCCTTTTATTCTCATTTTCAAAGTGAAAACTAATTATAGAAGTTCTATGAAAACTCCAAAAAGTTCATCTCAAGTAAAAGGGTTTAAATATGTTTTTAATTTTAAGAAAACATTTAGTTGTCAACAATGCTTAGGTCCATATAGCAACAGCTGTTCTGTTTCAAAGTTTCAAATATTTTTAACATTGACTATATTTAACTTTGAACACATAAACTCAACATAACGTAAATAACTCTTCAGTTATTTAAAATTGTGAAAGAAACTATATTACTTTCTAACTGGTATTAGTGTGTGACATTCACATATTACAATGATATTAACCCCTGCTTGTCCTTTTATGTGGATGAGAAAGTGAAAGTTCCTTTTTAATACTGTAAAATTTGATTATTTCTAGAGTGTAAATCATTGTTTATTAAATTAAATAATAAAAATTAAATCCCTTTCTGTGTCTGAATTAATATTTCTGAAAAAGCATGTGGGTATTTTTTTACAGCGGCATTGTCCAGGTGGTTCCATGCTATTATTGTGCGTGGGAAGAAAGATTGTTTATGCTTATACTGCACTGGGGCACATTGAAGCATTTGCTATTGTTTCGGGTGTAATTGTTAATGGGGTTGTCGGTGGTGAAGTCAGTGTTCAGTTAGCGTTTGGCTCTGATCAATCGACCCGGCTTCTGTGGGGTGAGGTACGTGCCTGCTGTGATGGCCGGCACCAGTCCCATGACCACTTTATAAAAGAATATCAGGCGGAGTCCCTCTCATCTGTCTTTAAGGGGGGGGGGGGGGGGGTGCGGGTATGTCAAATCTTGGTGAGGCAGGACAAAGCCCTACATGGACTGTAGCACCACAGGGATCAAGTATAATTATCAGCAGAGTTGCAACTCTAAAAAGAAGACAACTAGACAATGATCCCAAAAGAGATTCTATGACAGAAAATAATATCAAATCCAATTAAAATTAACCTATTAGGAAGGACCAATATACACAAAATTTAATAATAGAATTTAATTATATAATTTAATTGTAATACTTTAAATTTGAGGACACCTCCTAAATTTTCACCCTATTTAACTGCACACTGCATTTATTTCTCCAACAACTTCAACACTCCAGCTGATGCTCTAATCTGTTGGTTTTTTTCTAGGTAATTCCTACTGTTGGCCTCAGTTAAATAAAGAAAGTAGCTGTAATTAACCATTAATCCACAAGATAGATGTATCCCCTAAAACAGGACTGCACAACTCAAAATGTAAGGCGGGCCGTAATACTTTATGAAAAACTTGTGCAGGCCGTAATACTTCATAAAAAAAGCTTGCGCGGCCCGAAAGATGATCGGACAGGGGGGAAGGCTATTAATAAAATAATAATAATAAAGAATATTTCGTTACTTCGCGGGTCGTTAAGTCGGTGCTAGCGGGCCACATGCGGCCCGCGGACTGTATGTTGTGCCGGCCTGCCCTAGAGCCTAGAAAATTAAATTGAAAATTGGCCATAGAACAGCTCCATTGCTAAAGTGGAAATAGCTGGAAATTAAAATCAAGCGTTGTTAAATATTTTAACCATTTATCTTAATAATTAAAGTATCAGGAACCTATCTCAATTAGTCAATTAGTTTCGCCTATTACAAATTACAGACTTTGGCATTGGCATATTTATTACTGACAGGATTTGACCTATTATTGATAGGCTTGCAGGGAAGACATAATCGTTATTATTTTCATCAACATTTGTTTCCATTTTGATGATCCAAAAACATAAAAAAAGTACCTTAAAAAATCCATCCTTTTTACAACAACAACAAAAAAGTACCAAAAAGTATAAATAGATTTGTTACAGTACATTCATAGGACTAAACAAGTGTGGGGGCGCCCATGAACTCTTTTTTTGTTTTTTTTTGTTTCATCTCATTGGAGATCAGGAAGTGGATTAAAAAAAGACGCAAGATTTTATTTACCCAGACAAATAAAAACATTGCAATAAAAGCGTGAAAGAGGATAAGTTAATGTAAAAATAAGTTTTAATCATAATTCTTGATATAAGTTAAAAGTAAATTATATATAATTATTGAAAACCAAGACGGTCTACCTCCAAGTCTAGTTTACTTTTAAAAATACAATTTTTTTTTAATGATCAATCTTGTCTGCTTTACTGACTCTACTCAACTCTACTGAAGTCTACTGCTATAAGTATAAGTATAATTAGTGTAAAATAAGGCTATAACTCTATATATAAACATTTATGATTTACTGGGTATAATTTAATTCAAATGTTTTGGTCTTTCTTTATCAATGATTTGTGCAAGGACTATAAACAAATATGTTAATCCCCAATAATAATAATAAACCCCACATTACATTATACTATACTATTATAGAAATAGAAGTAGAAGTGCTATTTTTTGCTATTATTTATTAATCATGATCCACTCCCCCACACTTTTATAAATATTGAGGTGCGCCAAATATAATATTTATTTATTAAAAACAGGGTGCATTTTTAAAGCCAGTCTTTAATTTAATGACATATATTTTAAAAATGCATCATGATCATGCGACCCAAAAAAAAAAATCCATGTGACCCTCTCCTCAAAAAGGTTGCCCACCCCTGGCCTAGACAGTACTTTATATAACATTTTAGCTTTGAGAAGCTACATTTACCACTGGCCACTGACACTGAGAAGGATAGTTTTAGCTGTATACCGACAATTATAAAAGGATAAAAACATTAGGGATACAATCATAATTAAAAATGCAAAATAATTTACCTGACAGTGACAGGTTAGGTTACTTTATTACATCACTTAACATTAATTATTTAATATATTAATAATGTTTCAGTATCATCTTTATTATTCTTTATGTTATAACTTTTCGGTAAAAGTGCAATTCAGGTGCATATATTGTTTATGATTGAAATTCGTATTTCTCGTATAAACTTATGTGTATTTTTTAAATTAAATTTAGTCCTGACAGTATTAGTCAACTAGCACTATTTACAGTGTTGTTTGTATCAGAAATCAGACACTTCTGAAGTGCTATCTTCATAAAATATATTCCTCAGAGGAAGAAATTATTGTCCATTTCACACTTATAATCAGAATCTGACTTCATAACAATGCTTTTAGTATGTAGTACATGTGTACCAATCTTGTGACAAAACATGTGTAACAGGGAAAAAATGAATGAATGGACAAGTTGCTGTCAGATTTCTTCTACCCTGTGCTTTATATTTCCTTCCACTACCCCCCTGTGCTTTATATTTTGTTCCACTACCCTGCGCTTTATATATCCAAAATAAAACCACATTTTCTCATGAGTCAAATCATAGTATATGAGTATATTTTTTTTAGTTTTACTAATGTTTTTTTTCTTATAGCGTTTGTTTAAGATGCATAACTTTGATGTAAATAATTTGATCTTTGTTTTACATGTAACAATAACCAACACATATTTTCATCTTAAATGAGTTTTGCAGCAAAAGTGAAGTATCTGAAGTACATGAAGTAGATGCATAAAAATAAACTTGTAAAGGAGCAGTAAATAATTTGATTTCAATACTTTTTTTTACTTCCAGGTTAAAACAGTCTACACAAGTGACAAGTTTCTTGACTGTGGAATCCAAGAAATTTCAGTAGATCATAATTTCTTGGCTGGCAGCTGAATGTACACAATAACATCTTGGCTTACATCTGAATTTATATCATGCATCTTGACTGAATCTTAATGTACATCATAACATCTTGACTGACATCTTAATGTACAACATGGCATCTTGGCTGACATCTGAATGTAAAATATACCATCTTAACTGACTCTGAATGTGCACAATACCATTTTGAAAGACATCTGAATGTACAACATAGCATCTTAGCTGATATCTGAATGTACAATATACCATCTTAACTGACTCTGAATGTGCACAATACCATTTTGAAAGACATCTAAATGTGCAGAATTCCATCTTGGAAGCCAGTGAATGTCTCAACCCAAAGTAAACAAGTTTTACCATATTATTAAATAAATAAATTTCTACTAACACACATCGAAACTTTTAAAACTTGTTCATTAATCTGTTCATTGTTTCAATCACTTAAACTTTAACCTAACTGGTTTTAAAAACTCTAACAATATTTATCATTTGTAATTCAAATAAATGTCGCATCATTGCTATATGGCTGTGCTCCTCCATCAGCGTGATATAAATAACAAAATCAATCAATCAATCAATCAGATCATTAACAAAAACTAAAAATATAGAAATTTTAATTACCATAACCTGTCTTTTCATGAAGAATGAATAATAAAATGAATTACCTTGACCTGTTAGTGCAAATAGACTGATGAGCTGAATGAATTACCCTAACCCTGTCAGTACATATTAATGTATTTTCAGTTGACTTGTTGATGGTGTCACAATCCAAAGCTTAATTAATTTAAATATAAACTTGAACACTTTAAATAACAAAACCAAGGCAATCATTCAACTACTAGCAAACAAATAACTAGTGACACATCACTAGACAAGTGACTAACAAAAAAAAATTAGTGACATATCCCTAGGCAAGTGATTAACAAATGTCTAGTGACATTTCACTGGACAAGTGAATAACAAACAAATCACTAGACAAGGGTTACCGGCAATTTGTTCGAAAGAAATTTAGTTGATTGAAAAATTGATGGGAGTTTGGTCAAATTTGTTTTTTAGTTCACTCGCTCAAATTTTTGTCAAATTTTCTTTTATGAACGCCCTATACTATATAGTAAAACAAAATAATGCATTCAAAAAGTTATTAATTGTTATTAATGTTAAAAATTATAACGTAACTGACCTTACTAGTAATATACAAACTAACTTGTAAGAATTTAAACAATCATAGGGAAAATTAATTTGCTGAAAAATAAAACATGCATTAAAATCAAATTTAAAAAAAAAATTGAATTTATAATAATGTACAGCAGGGGTGGCCAATCTTTTTCAGCAGGCGGGCCAAATTTCAGAAATAATATTTCCTGCCGGGCCATGGACTTAATATATTTTGTTAATTAACATTAGCATGCAAGAGTGCTACAGCTTGGTCCATATCATCACTACCCAGCAGGTGAGGTCATGGTTAAACACTTGCCTGGTTCAATGTACCACATCATCAATACCCAGTGGGTGAGATCATGGTAAAACACTGACCTGGTTTAATGGACCACATCATCACTACCCAGTAGGTGAGATCATGGTCAAACGCTGACCTGGTTTAATGTACCACATCATCACTACCCAGTAGGTGAGATCATGGTCAAACGCTGACCTGGTTTAATGGACCACATCACTACTACCCAGTAGGTGAGATCATGGTCAAACGCTGACCTGGTTTAATGGACCACATCACTACTACCCAGTAGGTGAGATCATGGTCAAATACTGACCTGGTTTAATGTACCACAT